CGACAAATTTAATCAGTGTTGAATGCTGGTCAAATGTACGTGTTTATTTGGCGTGAATGGCGAATCCTTATGCGGATGGATCAAGCTAAATCTGGTTTAAAACCTTACTGTGTCGTTCTCAAATTCCATTAATCTGTTTGAGTTAGTAGACGCTGAAACAACAGAGTTAGGAGACACTGAGCGGATTTCGGTCTAATTGAGCCTTATTCTACTGATCCAGACCGGTTTTATAGAGGGTCCTAAACTCCCATGATTGCAACTACTCTTCACACGCCTGCCAGTTCATGCCCCCCTTCCACTTTGAGTTGCTTGGCGATTTCCGCCAACTGAGCCATCAATGTCAGTCTGTGCTTATTAGTGCACAGGTGATGATGGCCATAATACAAATCGGAAGGTGTATGCGCTAATAAAAGTTTTTACTGTGGATGACAGTAGTTTACAGGAGCGATTTGCAGCATGCATAAGATAAAGGCAATAGAAAATGTGGAGCGAGTCAACAGGGAACCTATCGTATGTGAGAGTCCCTTGGTGAAAGTCCAGACGGCGGGAACGTGTTTTGTCCGCAGTTTGGCTGCTACACGTATTCCATAATAGTTCCTGGACTTGGAGTGTTTGGCTGACGCCTTGCTCCCTGCGCGCGCGCGAGTCTGTGTGTGCTGACTGCGTTCAGTTTCCCTATATGTAGGTCCGTTTGCGCGTACTTGGGCGCGTCAGCACGTGAGTGGTTGGTACTCTCACTAGACGGTGCAGAAAATCGACGTCTGATGAGTCACCTCAATGTGACGTGGTTGTGGGCATGAAAAAGAGACAAGTCTCGTGATCCAGTGAGCGACTGTGGGCTGAACAGTCAAGTGTGTGGGTGACTGGGTCGCTACATGCTTTAGGTCTCACCTCAAAAATTCCATATTTTCAAAATCAATTTTGTCATTACATTTTATTCTGTATGCACAGTCCCTAGTCCCCTCATCAACCGGAAATCGATCCTTCCTGTGAATAAATACTGAGCGTAAAGAAATTCTTTCCTCTGGATTAGCACTTTGTTAACCGTATTCAACAATGGATTGAAATTTCTCTGTTTTGTATGCAATGACAGCTGTTCCAACCTTATTGGGTCTTGGTGTTTAGACCAATATCCGTCATAGCTGAAAACCAATGACTATCTGCCGTCTTGAATTGACTTTTTCTACATCAAGTTGTGCTGCTGTTGGAGCTTTTATCCTACTAAATACTGTCAGAACTATACCGGGGTATCCTGCATTTAGATACACTGAGGAGTAGTTTAAGATTGCACCACTATTTATTGATTTCCGGCGAACAGCCGTCTTTCATTTCCCACCGTTGTTGTGTGTCATGCAGTCAACGAAGGGTACTGGGCGTACAAGACTCACACCCTTCTGCCAGGTCATACGTTGTCCAACTCGCGGTTTACGCCATCCTGAAGGAGGCACCGAGAGCAACACTCGTCTCGGTAGACGGTGTTTCGGCATGCATAGCACATGACCCAGCCATCGTAGTCGAGGATGCTGGGTGTTATCTCGGATTGAAGTGCCTGCAGCACAACCGAATACCCGTTTTCTAACATGCTGATCATCATAGGCAGCATGAGATCAGTGTTCAACACCGATACTTCGATGTCGAACAACCATGATTTATTTGAAAGCCTTATTGTAAAGAAAAGAATAAAAGTGGATGGAGAAGAGACTTAGTGCTAGCTTATCACAATAATTCCGAGGTGCCTATACCTCCAGACACTCGCTCAGGCGATCTGGATAGAAAGTGACAACAAGATCGTCACTGACATCGGTTAGAAGTCATATTATGCAGTGTCTACAACCAGGCACAGTGAGAACCACGCGGTCCCCCTCCTAGAAGAAGAGTAGCACCGACGCAACCAAGCGTTTCATAGTCTCCTTTATACCCGTCTGCCAAGTCCCTTATTCCGCCATTTTCAACTGGGCACGGAAAACAGCGCTCTCTTCGGCAAGCGATGGCTAGCCATACGCAACACATGTCCCAACCAACACAGCTTCTGGTGCTGGACACCTTCAATGGAAGTAGCCGTTGCGCAACCGAAAACTCGTTACGGACACCCCTACATCAACCCACACGACCTATGGTCCTGAGACAAAGAACCAAAGCTCGTGTTGGTTGGTGTCGGCGTACCGTGTCGGACACTCTACCCAATTTGGTGTCTAGCTCCACTCTACACTTAATGTGAGGGTCCAAAGTGTTAAGCTATTGGAAGTATTCGTTAACGTTATCGCGCTTTATCACAACGGACGTGCCACCTATATGAAACCGGAAATCATTCAGTGTATACTCGAATCCGGCTACAACTTTCTGTCATTTGCGTTTATTGGTGCTCACCAATTTAGATGGCTGTCGACCTAAGTAAACCTTCGTGCAACCGAGACATTTTATTTTGTATACACAACATTTGGTCCTGTCAAAACAAAGAAAACCCTTCGATTGCACAAATACTGAACGTAATGTTTTTCCGTTCTGACATGCTACTCTAATATTAGCCCCTCTCAAATGTCCGCTTTCTGGTGTTCCAACCCACTAAGCTTACGGGTCTTGATGAGGGAATTGTCGCATATCTCAGCTGCTGGTGACCACGTGACCGAACGACTCAACCCCACCTAAAATAATAAGCAAGGATGACACACTCAGTTTGGCTAAGCATTTCGAAATCTAACTGCACACTTGATGCGTGTATTATTCAATTTATCGTGCATATCGAAAGTACATCCTTACTTGAGGCTCTAACCGTCTGACCTACAGTTCACAACGCTGGAGAATGGCCAGTCGGAGCCTACGCCCTGCCAAATGCTCATCGCTCCGACACGGAAAATGCCTGCCCACCTGGTTTCACTCAGAATCACATGTCACTGGTTAGTGTGCAAACCATGTTCTACGAACTTGAAATCATACCCACCGTGATCGGATCCTACTTCCTCGAAATCATTGGACACAATCAAAGTGCTTTGAATGTGCACTACTGTGACCGTGATCGACCTTCCTCTTCGCAGGACAAAAACACCACACTACCACCGCCCGTGAGCGCCGAACAACTTGCGCTCCAGTGGCCCAAAGGAGACTACTGTGTGATTTCAACAGATCTGTCCAACCACTGTCCACCAGGTGTGTGTGTGTGTGTGTGTTTAACCTTCGTCTATGATGCCAGTTCCATACTGCTTTTCGCAAGCCTTTTTGGGGGGGTTGGAGAGGCAGACTGCTCGATTCACTTAGTTCGCACTGGTTTCCTACGCTTTCGCGTGCGCGGTGCTAGCTTTCAAATAGTTGCTTTGACATATTTGGACAAATAGCTTCGTATTCAAGTATTTTCGGTTGAATTGGCCATCGGCCAATAGATTGGCTTGCACTGGCTCCCTTTTGACTTCAATTTCAAATTCAAATTCAATCTGTCTGTCAGTACGTGGGCATGTGGTTTGACGTACTCTGGACAACATCGTCGCCGAGATTTCCATTTCGACGTTGATAAGATTGATTAAGTCAAATAAGACGTTGCCTCTTTCGATAGGAGATGGATCACACGATGGCTGACAGATGGTTACAAAACATGTCTGGCTTTGATAATCTGGTGCGTATAAAACAGAGTTTCGTTGCTGTGACGAGTTTTTATGCTCAGAGGGAGTACCGCAGCCAAAGGTGAACCCAAGCTATACGACAAATAGTCCTTGATATCGAAATGTTCGAAGTTTTGGTAGACAAACAGAAAAAGAATTAGAAACTTCAGTACCTTGTAGTGTCTTTATTGCACGAACCACTGAAGCTGGCGTATAACCATAGCCTTTTCTTGTATGAGCAGAAATTGGATGGAAAAAGCCATCCTCGTACGCCTAATACTTTCAGGAGTTACACATACACACCAAGTAGTTTTGCATTGTAATGCAAAGTTGTCTTGCCCTAGACTACTACAGAGGATAGGCCGGAAGTGATGTCGCCTGCAACAGGGGTCTGTTGGTGAAACATGCTTCCGAGGATCAACTATAAATGTCCTGTTTTGAGGCACACATTGTTGAGGTCCCGATGCGGAACGGAACGGGACACGAAAGCGTATGCGTAAAAGGGTGAGGTGCGCACATTGACACACGTATGCTACTAGACTAGTGTCGGACGGGACAGGTTTTGCGGCAGGAGCATTATAAATGAAGATTAAAGGTACATAGGTGGAGTGAGCAAATAAATGGGAAACTTATCACGAGGTCAAGTTAGATTAAATACACATGTACTTGGAGAATGGAATAACTGTCCAAGCTTGACTACTAACCGTTAACTACTTTGTCTGCAAAGGCAGCCCTCGCTGTCGCCCTGAATGATGTGCCACTCCAAGTCCCTACTTTGAGTTGGCGGTTTGTCTCTCTTTTTTCGACTATATTGTACATTTGTTGTATTCTAGTGTCTGATACATGACACTGTATTCTACTGTAATGTATTCATGTGTAAATCTGAAAGCGACTCGTATTAACATATAAAACGTTCTCCTGCGTTATGCTTACAACGGTGGTAGGAATCACTTTCTGTGATTGTCAGTTCGATAACAGGTCGATAACACAAGGCATTCATAGTCACGTGCACTTCAGGTGCGTCTTGCGGGCGCCCTCGAGCTACCCTGTGCATACACAGTGGGCTTAAGCTGTTTAGTTGATCCCACATCAGTTGGACATGTTGCTGGCCTTTGGATCGCCCCCTTCTGTTCGCACTCTGGTTCCATTTCTATGGATATGTACCAGCCTCACTTGACGCAAAATACATGTGGCACTATCCATCCTTCAAGGGAGTCTACTAAAGCAGTTCGATGTGACAGGCAGTAGTACCACATAATTGATATTATAGAAACAAGCTGTCTGATAGAACCGTTTCTGTTCAGTGCATCGTTTCAGTTTGTTACCGACTTTGCCCTTTTCCAATCTTCTTCCAATTTCTGTCACTTACCTCGCGTGCTTCCGAATAGGTCTGAACCGGCACAGTCGTTCAGTTGCTGAGTTGTGCTGCCGCACTGATAAAGTTCAAGATCCCGTTCCTGTGGATTGGCCGTTTACCGGGGACTTTTTCCTGTTTGGTGGGGATCGTTGTCTGCCAATCAAGAACACCCATGTAAGTTGGAATGCTTACGCGCAGTAACGCATACTAGTTGATAACAAGCACCACGTAATTAAATAGGTTCAAAATGCAAAATGCTGTTCTTTCCAACACCGTCGGTCTGTCATCAGCGTATTAACCACGTGTTAATCCGTCGGGATTGATTTATTTGAGCCGTCGACTTACTAATCTGCAAACGACGTGCAATTTTTTAGTGAGCTTCGAAGAAATGCCCCCAAGTGTTCTACATTCCCTGAAGTGTGATGGACAAATGCATCCGTATCTTGGACAGAGTATTGAATCATAAGCCGTTCCGAGTACTATCTGGAATCCGTTTGAAAGCGTATTGAATTACTAATTTGAGACGGTATAAAATGCTGGATTATGGTCGGTTGCGTCTTTTGTAAGCACAAAATATGTATTTTGCCACTTGCGTGCAATTTTATGTCCATTTTGAACATAATGTTGACGGGAGCTCGGGAAGTGTGCTTACGTGATGAGTTCCAAGAAGGGCTGTCAATAAGTACTCATCAACCTCATTCGTAGGGAATATCTCAAGAGATTATCTACCATAAGGTTTTAAATCTTTCGTTTATAATATCTGGCCGGGATTCTGGTGGGTCTCTCGTAATAAAGTCAAACTGTTGTGCAAGTTAGGTTCAAGTAGGACCCAAGGATGAGGCGACCTTGTGCGACACAATCATTCGAAGAATATCAGCTGCGTGGATTCTACTGTGTCTACCGTGAAAACCAATTGGTGTGCAACTGAATGTATTCGGTGAAGTATTCAGTTTTCCCATCCTTCGTCTACATCTAAGTAGAAGTAAAGCAAATCCCTCTCAGAAAGGTCGGATTCCAGAAGGTTGTCCCAGAATACCCGAGACTTGCTGAGACCTAGTAGTGCTCTAGTTGACGATGTCCATAACACAACTCAGAAGGTATATGCACTAATAACAGTCTTTCCTGTGGTTGACAGCAGTTTACAGAAGCGATTTGTAGTATGTATAAAATAAAGGCAATATTAAATGTGAAGCAAGTCAAAAGGGAACTTATCGTATGTGAGAGTCCCTTGGTGAAAGTCCGGACTGCGGGAACGTGTTTTCTTCGCAGTTTGCCTGCTACACGTGTTCCATAGTTGTCCGTGGACTGTGGAGAGGTCGTTGCTTCCAGCGCGCGCTCGAGTCTGTGCGTGTTGACTGTGTTGTCTATTCCTATATATAGGAAAGTTTGACGTGTTTATACAACATAGACTCGTTTCGATGCGTATAAGACAGGAACTGACTTGTTGTCGGTCAAGGTTGCGGGTGGGAAGGCGTTTGTCACGTGATTTATGTGCGTGTGTAGCAGGCAAGTTGCGTGATCTAGTAAGCACTCATGTGCTAGACAAACTAGGTGAAGTTGGTTGAGGGGACGTGGAAATGTCCGCTACAGACCCTCAAACTTCACTAAACGCCGATCAGACAGCCTTGGATCAAGGTCAAAGAGTGCCCTTAAGAATAGAGCACGAGGTCGTTCTACTTGCACGCAGTCACTTGTTTGCAACAAAGCTATTGTGTTCCTTGTCGGCGAGTCTGGTTCCGGCAGTAGGCAATGGAGCGGGGACAGCAGTCAGATATAACACCTCCGACATGTCAAACTAAGTTTATAACTTCTTAGAACACCCGTTCATTTTTAGTGTCGAAAAAATCGATATTAATATAGGGATGATGCGTGTAGGTCAACTGCCTACTCGTGGCTAGACTGTTTGGGTGGAATATGAAAGCATATTTTGAGGAATTGCAGTCTTCATCGGTTCAACAGTTTCCGGAGCGGAATTCAGAAAAAATAGTAACGTGACCGTCGGATATGAGTTATTGTGAGGAAGAAGCGTAAATGTGTCGGAATCGTGTAGTGCAAAATGTTAAATTGGCAAGCCCATTTACAGTTCACACAAATTCTCAACTGGCTCAAGTTTCATTTGCGAATTCCGGCTTGAATGATGAACCAGATCACGCTAGCTCCCTTAGAACTTCATCAAATATTTTCTGTCAATGTTTGACTTTCTCATTGTGATCACCAAAAATGGTTGAGCCAATATTTACAAATGCTCCTCAAAACCGCTTCGTATTAGAGAAATACACTCATTTCCAAGCAATTCGGTTTTGCGGGAGACTCATATGGAACCAAGTTGAATCTCTTGCTTCTGATGTTTTCAAGTAACTGAATGTGCTGCGCCAGGTTGCCTCATGTTTTAGTTGATACGGTATTTGATATATCGCGATACGTGTATAGACGTAATACACTACTCATAAGGTTGCTGAAAGTTCTTCGACAGCCAATGGTTGGTTTCGCCCTTCTTCGGGCACAAGTGAGTCTCCCGCAAAACCAAATTTGTTTGCAAATGAGTGTATTTCACTAATTTCGTGTAATTTGGCTTGAAGTAGAACATAAGGTTGAGGAAACTCGGGGATTGCGCCTACCTGATGGGCCCCAAGAGGGGCGAAACCGGTCGTGGGCTGTCGAAGAATTTCCACCAATAACCTGTTAGTAGTGCATTAAGATCCTTTATTTTTGGAAATTATCCAATTTTCAAGTAGATATATAGTCGTATTCATTTAGTAGACGGTCATTGGATAATCCAAGTCCATATTTGAATCATTTTCTTCAAAAGAACCAGGTTAATGAAAAAACATCGAGTAGTCCTAGGGGGATTCCACCTATTCCCCTGCTCACCTCCGTTCACGGCCAATGGTGCCTACTGATGACCGTTGGACCGATTTTTCGCCTGTTACAAGGTTGAACTTCAGTGTAGAAAGTTAGGTCGTGCCTTGTGACACTACATGTATGATTGGGAGACAGAGCACTCAGCGGGAAATGTGCCAGAAACGAGACGGATCCTGTTGTATATTTACATCTTTTTGGGCACATGTAGACATGCTCATTATGTATAGGAATTCAGATTAACATCACCTTTTTCGTCCTCTTTAACCATGATAGGTAGAGCGCTATCCTGTTCGCTTACTGGCCACAAACTACCGCACGATGGAGGCCGAATGGGATGTACTGTGTCATTATATACCAATAGAGTGGACCACAACAGAGAACAAATGGCCTTCCGGTGACTACATGCTGCCGATCGGTCGTCGAAGTGGTCTAAAATCCTCGATGATCTACTTAGCCGAGTATGTGGACGATGTAACACACAAGCACATAAATTCCAATCCGAACCAGACACCGGACTCTGACGGGTCGGTAAGCAGATACAAATGTCCGGAAACATTTCAGCGTGCACGGTTTACCTTCGTCAGTAAGAACAGCGAAACACGGCAGGTTCCACGTGAAGACGGAGGGGAATCACAGAGGCTGAACGTTGTCGCAATGACAGCGATGGAGTTCTGCATCCGGGAGAACGACACTGTCCGTATTGAGTCGGGTGGAGATGAATGGCCAAACGGTGACTACTGTGTTTTCACGATGAATACGGAGTGTCCCACGGGAATGAGTAAGTCTAAACATGGATTCACTTCACTAAAATGAGCAGGGGTTCCAGCCATTACTAAGCATTTACATGCTGATAGTCATTGAATTAGAGTTCCATCTCAATCTTTACTCGATGTATTTCCGATACTTGAATTATTGGTATCCAGCACAAATTACATGAGAGGGAAGGTGGTGAGTTGGAAACGGAACTCAGTGATTTTGTTAGTGCTATTATCTTTTACTCGAATTAATGTCAGAAGGTGAATAACATTAACAATAAGCGGTTATGTATGGTAGCTACCAGAGACACTGTAGTACAATTGAATAACACACAAAAAGGAAAGAGACTTGTCGAGTTCTTCGGTTTAAAAGTCGTACTAGATGATGCTGATGTTTGTAGGACGCAGTTGTATTGAATGCGGGTCTTGACCGAGCGTTTAATCGTTTAACCCAAACGATATCGAGCCCAGACTTTTCCCGCACAGTGAGTCATGCGTAGGTTTGAATTGACTCTGGTCAAGGCGCTGTGTGAAGTGACGGTATATCGGCATCCTGCCGTCGTTGTTCCCCATATATACGTTTACGTTGTGCGTGAGGATGCGCTTGCATTGTTTGTCTTTGGATAAGATTCCAATAATCTCGATTAGTCGTGGGGCGAATGTTTCGGACACAATCAAACCAGGAGTGGAACGGTGGGTGTGCATGCGTTAAACAAATTGTGAGTGATTGAAGGTAAGGATTGATGAGGTAGTAACCGAACTGTGAAAGCGGTTGACGATAAACGTTGAAGGGATGGTAACCAACACTCTCTACTCCAAACGCACCGAGTATAGTATAAACGAAGGACGGAAGGTCAAAAAAACAGTTAGAAGGCTGAGCAAAACCAGTTGGTCAAGGTCACGTTCCAAGCTCGCATGTCTGGGTGTAAATGATCTAACGCAGACAACAACGTCTAGGCTCACGCAATGATAACCTGTTAAAAGGTTGAGATCGCAGATGGAATTGTCACACTATGGTGTCGACTTTATACCACTGCAAATCAGGATAGCAACTTCGCACCTGGATACCATTAGATTCTTTAATACGGAAAATGTACAGTAGTATCCCTTGCACAAGCTTAAGTGAATCCGAAGAATAGAGGGGCCTGTGTCACTGGATCTCCGACGTCCGGCTACTCCAGTATTCTACATCTTGTTGTTTTGGTGATGACCACTCGGACCGCTCAAATGGCCAACGCGTCTACATGGAGGTAAAAATTTACTAGTCACCAAGTGCCATCCAAAGTTCAGGAAAACATGAATAGATTTCCTAACAATGCTTAACTGGCAATTTACTGTTTATATATACTGTTGTGCCTGCTAGTGTTGAATACAATCAATGGGGGAACAGTTAGATGCTTCGTGCGTCATAACCTATTAAGTTGCCGCCTACATTATGTAACGCGCCAACTAGGAAGTGAGATCGGCTGGGAAGCACCCTTACCCGGGATGTCCTCATTTCAGTAGTATTTCCGCATTCACAAATATCCCAGGTCAAATGGGAAATTAAACTGGTGCACTGATTGCTATCAGGCGTTTGGTAGTTTTCTTCACATTTCTATCCTGGTGGCGAGATGGCTTAAGTGGTTAGAGCTTAGATTTGCTGACCGGAAGGTCCGTGGTTCGAACCCGACCCTACCTCTCGACTTCCCCTGTCTAGGTTTGGGCAACCTGGTAGTATCCCAGCCCTCGTGCTTCTTTCAGCTGTCATGGACAGCTGGGCACTGGAAAGGTGTCACAGCCGGATGATTTGTTTTTAAATTTCTATCTTAAGGATGTTTTTTGTTTATTTCCCGTCTAGGAGCTACCAGGGAAGCGCCAATGAAAATTCCTAATTTCTTGCTGAAGAGCGTGGACATCTTGGATGAATATGGGAACAAAATGAGTAACAAGCAATGGCACGAGGATGCCGACAACCATGTGGTATACTTCATGCGTTGTTGTCGCGAAGACCATACCTTGCTCCTTCGTCTACCACCGTCCAGCGACGGATTCTACTTGGCACGAAGTTCTCCACTATGCTCCATCGTCCCGGGAACCCTTCTCGATCAGGAACAAGTGGCCACATACCTCAGTCCTCCAATCTACGAAAAACGAAGCCAGAATTTGAACGATCGGGATCTGACACTCTATCGGGAATTTTTCACTCTGAGAGAGGGTCTCATGTATTTGTGCTATTACCATCCTGGCACCGGTTTGGACTATTCCGTTGCCATTCCACCGGAAATGCAGCATTACTCAACGGTGAATTTGACGGAAAAGGACATGGAGGATATGGCAAGTATGTTTCTGTCGGATTTTTTCTCCTGGTTCACTTTTTCTAACTTGAGTCGCAGAAGAACATCTTGGATGGTAGTCACATGGGTCTGTTATATCATCTCAGTGTCCTTCGTTTCAAGTAAAACCAGTCGGAAAATGTGCATTTGAAAAAGATCCAGTAGTGGGTTTGAACAAATTTGTAACCTAACTCTGTATTTTGTAGGGGGAAGATCAAGAAATATTTGGTTTAATGCATGGAACTCTCAGTTTTTCTCCATAAAACCATGGGTTAGTATAAGGTTAGAAACAACATCTGGCACTGCTCTTCCTATCCTTCGCTGGT